AGTTCCCAGTGTGGTGACCTGGCAGCAGTACTCAACTGCTTTTCCCTTGGTACCATGGGAAGACACAGAATTGTATGTGTTTACTGAGGTCTCTTCCTGCCCAGGACTCGTCTGGAATTGGCCGTGGGTCTTTGCATAGTTCCCACACATGAACATGGCAGCTTGTATTAGAACAAACAGTAATAAATGGGAGGATCACTTCTCTGCATTTGGGGATTCAAGGGATCAGGGAAGTGAGAAGCTTTTTTAAGTTTTCCGTTCTACAACTTTCTGTCCATCTCCAGTTTTCCTTTCAGATAAGTTTCTAGTAAAAGTTGGGACCTGTCCTCTCCCTAGCCATCGGTGACACGTGGCCCCTTGAAAATGTCCCTGTGTGGGAGGGAGGGCTTTGGCTGTCACACTGGGAAGTTGGGGAGAGCTCTTACCACCTTGTCTCCACTGCTTTGTGTGCTGTTGTGTTTTTTCTTCCCTCTTTGTTTTCCCTAAGCTAAGCTCTATGCTAATTCTGTACAAAAGAAATACTTACTGCTTTTATGAATTGCTTGCCATTATTGCCTGATAATATGCAGTAAAATAGGCTTCTGCATATCATGAACTATGTCAAATATTACAAACATTAAGGTTCTTTTGAAATTATAATACTAAACTCAGTTCACTTTTGCTTAGCCTTCACAGTTGATCACATAGCATGGTCATCCACTCACAGCTTATAAAAATACAGGGAGCATCGGAGAGAATGGGTAAAGTAAAATTTTGATGTTTTTAAAATAGTACCTAAATCTGAAAGTTATGTGGTTTATTGTCTGTATGGGAGTGAGAAGGGGGGTGGCACTAGGGTGGTGGGGGTGGATATCGGGAAAATAGCCTGTGCCACAGTGATGTCAGAACACACCTCAGCTGAGGCTCTCAGTGTTATTACTAAAATTTAAGCATAGCAGTTTCAGAAAAGGCAGGGCCATAAAATGGAAGGCATTGGGAATTACAGTGGGGTTGTTTTTTCCATTCCAGCAGATTGAAGGGGATTTTGAGAATGGTGGTATTGAGGACAATTTGGACAGGAGCCTCCTTTATAAAGTGACCTGTCCAAGTGGGACTGACTGCCTCAGTGCAGTTGCAGACTTTGTTATGTTGGAGAATACCTGGGTAGGAGTGATGTGCATCCCAAGTTGGGTTATATGCCTATGACTCAGGTATTCTCAAATAAAGGTTGTAATTCATGAAACTCATGCAGAGATGAATAAGACGGAGGTAAGAGAGTTGTTACTTGGTAGCAAGTAATCAATAGGAATGTTGTTGCTTCTCTTTACCTGAAAGGTGCTTTGCCTGCCAAAGTTATAAGTCAGATTTCCAGTTCTAAAAACTGAGCATTGTAGTTGTGTACAACGTATGATTAGTGATTATAGAGGTTGTAGGGCAGAAAGATCTCTGATACTATAGGTGGGGCAATGCTATTGTTGACTTATATAGCTTGATCTAATTTTGGCTCCATTTAAAAAAAAAGCTTCTTGCACCTTGTACACTAAAAATCTGGATTGAAAAAAAAATCGAGTTTTATCTCAAAAAATATTCTGACTCCAACTTTGCTATTCTACTCTGAATAAAGGCATTTGCCAAAACCAAATATGATTTATTTACTGTTCACCAAAGCTTCCTGCCTATGTAAACTTTGTCAGAGATACTGTTCCAGTTTGGAATGCTCTTTTTTGCTCCTTTTCTTTGCTCTCAGTCCTGTCTGTCCTTTGATTTTATTCTGTCTTTCTCAGCCTGTCCAGTGTTTGGTGGTCATTCTAGTCTTACAATTCCTGAAGCACTACCTATATGAAACAACTATTTGGCACTGAGGTCATGCTATCTTGTAATTTTACTTGTTACTTCATTTGTGTGTCCTGTTTCTTTATCCAGATCAGACTGGTTGAAGGTAGGGAGTTGGTCTTGTGTGCCTCTGTAGCACCATTGCCTGGCACAGAGGCTGTGATCTCAGCGGGTTTAATTCTGTGATTTCTATCCAGTGTTGTGTGACAGGGCACTTTTTTTCCCTGAGTTCAGATTTTTATATGACTGTATGCCCCGAAAACCCAAGGAAAGTATTTGAACTCATAGTTTTTTTCCTTTTTTTAGGGGATTTTTTTTTTACAAATTTTTGGGGGGGGGTTTTTTTTTTTTTTTTTTTTTTTTTTTTTTTTTTTTTTTTGCTTGTTTTTAAATGGGCACTGTTTTACCTAGTTTTTTTTGAAAACATGGTTTGGGCCAGATATCTTGACAGAAATCAAAGTTAAAAGTATTTTTATTTAAAAGTTCTTGGTTGGTTGAGCCAAATTTTACTTTCCTGGCATAAGGCCAAATAATTTATTAGATACTACTTGGTTCTGTAGTCCAGTTGTTAAATAAAGTATTAACCTTAAAGCCCCTTGAACAGAATTTCAAAAATACCAATAAACAAGTATTCAATTGTTAGTCCTTCTCATATTACTTCTGCATCTTCAGTTATTAAGGATTTGTTGCCTCCACTTCAGGGATTTCTGTAATGGCTAGTATAAATAGCTGTATTTGGTGTTAGCCACAGTTCTCAAAAATTCAGGTAGCATCTATTCAGGTGGAGTCAGGAGTAGTTATGTTAGTATGCTTTTGTGGAAAATTTTTTTAAAAGCTCACCAGGGCTACTCTCTGTTATATTCATATTTGGAATTGTATTTAATTTACCACAGTGTCTTCAGGACACATACCTTAATATTAGTTTTAGTGTGATTTCTTAAGCAAAAATAGTCATCCTACTTGTTGAAATGTTTGATTAATAAAACTTCATGAATCTTGATTTTATTCTAAGGCCTGTCTTATACCCTTGAGCCATCAGTTTAACAAAGCACTAGAGTGATACTGCTGCTGCATTATCAAAAAGTTTAGATACTTGTAGCAGGGAGACTCCCAGATGTAAGGTCCCCTTGCCCCCTTTTAAAACATTTTATAAAAGCTTAACATAATTACGGAGCAGGTTTGAAATACATTTTCTTTGGTATGTGATAGGAAGCAAAAGCCTCTAATACAGCAATGCTGTTGGATGTGAGTTTGTCATAGTATCATTCAAAAGGACCAGAAGCCACACTTACCTAGTCTTGAGGAAATATAGCTTTTCTTTAAAACCCCAGTTGCAGTGACCACTTTTAGAACTCCAGCACTGGACTGTTACCTGTGGTTGGTCATATTCTACTCTGGGGTTATACTTGTTAAGTCAGTGTCAACAAATAGAACACGCTGATTTTGTTCACTTTTGGTTTCATATACAAGAATCTTTACAGTCAACATGTGCTTCTAGATGCTGTATTGAAACTGCTGGCAGTCTATTCTGTACAGACTGAACAATCTGGCCCCTTGTTTTATTTGTAAAGGTTCAATGTATCTATGCCTGCCTACTTCAGTCTGCAAGGGAGTGTCAGAAAGGCCCCGCATTCGCCGAGCCGTGAGTTATCGCTAACTTTTCAGATGTGTTAATGAATGTGCAACAAAAGCAGTTGTGTTTAAAAGGCAGAGAGGACCACCACAATCACCTTTACACGTAGTAGCAGGCGTGGACACTAATGGGTCTCTCCACAGTGTGTCAGAGATGACCAAATAGAGACTAGCCTCTGGAAAACCTATTGTTGAACTGCTCTGGAGCTGTCAGCTTAGCTGTAAGCTTTTCTGAGAAATGTCAAATTGGAATGTTCTATAAATCTTTTTAACCAATTTAAAACAGTTTGAACATCTTACCCCATCTAAAAATTATAGTGTGTATTAAACTCTTCAATATAAGACCATATAAAGGGGTAAAGTTTTAAATATTTTTTGTTACTCGTGTGAAAATACAGAAATTCAAATGATTGAATCATTTCCTTTTTGAGAGTCTTTGTAGTGCTCCAGGCATCAGTGAGAAGTACAGAAGTCATTACAACTGTTTCTGTTACTAACACTTTTTGCTTCAGTGATTCACCAGTAGGTTTTCATTCATCAATGATGCTTTCAATTCAAGGCTGAAATAAAACATCTACGTTTCTTAGGGCTTATCATTCTGTATAGAAAGAGGAAACACCTATGAGTTTTTTCTTTTGTTTTTCCAGAGAATCTAAGCAAAAAAAATTAACATATATTTTGTTACTAGAGCTAGTTACCTTTCTTTTTCTTAGATTCTTTAAAGTTTTGAGTAGATAGTCATATTTGATAAGCAGATTGAATATTTCTGTTGCTTAGGAAGTGTAATGTTTTATATGAAGACAGACTGAATTTAAGTGTACCCAGTTTGGCGATATATAGCACAGACTACATAAAACTTGGAGGTATAGAACCCTTGGAGGCATAAAGTTAACGTTTCATTTAGGCAATGTGCCTTTGTTTGACTGGTGTGTAAGTCCTTCTTCCAGGTTTGTACACTCTTAAACACGTTATTCTACCCTCTCTAACTCCTCCCAGCAGCAAAAGGGAGACACCTCAGCTGGAACAAAATAGTGGAAGAAATGGCGTCTGGGGTTCAGTGGGGATTCGCAGTGTGTATGCAATGTTTGCAAGATTACTTTTTATGTTTTTCAATTAATGTAAATAATTAAGAAATGAATCCATGCTTAATGTCAAGAAGGGAACACTGGACACCAGTAGAAACTCTCCTGGTGGGTCTGCTGCAAGTCGCTTAACCTCTCGGGGCCTCGTCTGCACTCCAAAGGAGTTGGACTCAATAAGCTGTAAGGTCCATTCCTGCTCTACAATCCTGTGCTTTTCCGAAGTACTCTACTTACCAGAATGCATTGCTTTTCTACTTTGACTATTTGAATTTTATGTGCAGTACACATACTGCAACTGCATGTTGTCTAAAATAGTTTTTCTGTAGGAGGTTATGTAAAAAACTAATCCCTCTTGAGCTGATTTATAAGTGTGTGTTTAGCCACACATGAAATGCTAGATATAATAGGGCTCTCAGAAAATTAATACCGCCCAGTTGTCTAACCTTGAATGTTGTTAACTTTTCTATATTACAGGAGATACCACTCGCCAGCGAATCAAATTCAGTGATGACAGAGTATGCAAGAGCCATCTTCTCAACTGTTGTCCTCATGATGTTCTTTCTGGAACTGTACGTGTTAAGTCTGTTTAATTACTGATATGCTGTGAAGACACACAAGTTGATGAAAGTGTTAATTCTTTGTCAAATTCTTAGGCAGCGATTACTTTCACACTTTGTTAGAGGAAGGACTTACACCCCTGTGCTTTGTTTATTCAAGTGGAAGATTTAAATCTGCAGTAATGAGTTTTTCTCGGGAGCAGTTGATGGATTGTGTTTTACTATTTCCATTCTTCAGAGCGATGGCTTGTTTACCAGAGTTCAGGAGCGTGCACTCCTCCGTCTCCTTGTTAACTCCCCAGATGCCTGCCAAGGCCCTGCCTAGGCCAGTGAGCAGGGAATACAGTCGAGGTCTCCCACATGGTGGCAAGAATCCAACTACTTGAGTTAAGACCACTGCCACCCATGGTGTTGGAGGAGCAGGGGCTGGGGAACTTGGCCACGCTTCAGTGTAGGACATAGGCATTGATGCCAGACGCTTCCCTCTGGAGCGGTTTTTAAAGGCACTTATTTTGTCTTTTTTTTTTTTTTTTTTTTTTTTGACAGAGAGAGAAAAGGTCTTCCTTCCGTTGGTTCAGCACCCCCAAATGGCCACTATGTCCAGAACTATGCCAGTCCGAAGCCAGGAGCCAGGTGCTTCCTCCTGGTTTCCCGTGCGGGTGCAGGCGCCCAAGCACTTGGGCCATCCCCCACTCCCTTCCCGGGCCACAGCAGAGAGCTGGACTGGAAGAGGAGCAGCTGGGACTAGAACCTGGTGCTCATATGGGATGCTGGCGCCGCAGGCGGAGCATTAGCGAAGTGAGCCACGGCGCCGGCCCAAGGCACTTATTTTGAATGCAGACGTACTTGTTACCATCTTAGATGGTACTGGTGTTTTTAGTTCAGAAATAAAGTTTCGCTTTCTGCTAACCAGTAGATTGTCATGCAGAGTAGTATGCATGTTTGTTAAGGTTGATAAACGTTTCTGTTGTAGAGTCATTGAGGAAAATATGTTTAAGACAAATCTGTGCAGCTTATTTGAGAGTAGCATTGCCACCTAAAATTTTATACTGCTGACTTAATAGGGAAACTCAGATTGTGTGTCTGTAAGAGGTATTGCTTTTTTAAAAATATTAAGGTTTATTTGAAAGAGTTGCAGAGAAACAGAGAGAAAGGTCTTCCATCTGCTGGTTCGCTCCCCATATGGCCGCAGTGTCACAAGCTGGACCGATCTGAAGCCAGGAGCCTCTTTGGGCGCAGGGGCCCAAGCACTTGGGCCATGGCAGAGAGCTGGATCGGAAGTGGAGCAGCCAAGTCTCGAACCAACACCCATATGGGATGCTGACTCTGCAGGTGGTAGCTTTATTCACTATGCCACAGCGCCAGCACAGTGGTTTATTTTTTAAAATGATTCTGTGGGGCCTATGTTGTAGCATAGCTTGATAAAGCCATTGGCTATAACGCTGGCATCCCATATGGGTGCCAGTTTGAAACCCAGCTACTCCGCTTCTGATCCAGCTCCCTGTTAATAAGCCATCCAGGCCCAAGTGTTTAGCTCCCTGCAGCCAAGTAAGCGACCTGGAAGAAGCTCCTGGTTCTGCCTTGGCCCAGCCCTGGCTTTTGCAGCCATCTAGGGGATCTAGGGGAGTGAACAGGCAGTTAGAAAACCTCTGTGTCTCTCTCCTCCCTCTTGTTGACTTTAAGTAAATTTACTTAAAATAAATACATTTCTTAAAAGATTTGTTTGGTTGAAAGACAATTACAAGAGGTAAAGGCAAAGAGAGAAAGAGAATCTTCCATCTGCTAGCTCATTCCCAAAATGGTCACAACAGCCGGAGCTGTGCTGATCCGAAGCCAGGAGCTTTTCAAGGGCCCAGTGACTTTGGCCATTCTCTGCTGCTTTCCCAGGCCATAGCAGAGAGCTGGATCAGAGGGAGGAGCAGCCGGGACATGAACTGGACCCCCATATGGGATGCTGGTGTTGTAGGTGGTGGCCCAAACCTTTTTTTTTCTTTTTTTAGAAGAAGGAAGGCCCTGAAAATTCTTGAAATACAAGATTCTGTGAGGTAAATTATCTGCAGTTTACAGATAAGAAATTAACTCTAATGATATTAGGCAACAACTCAAAATCGTTCAGCTCTGATGATATAAAGAGACTGAACATTAGTTTTTTTCTAATATTGCTATATATATATATATTTTAATTTTTTGACAGGCAGAGTGGACAGTGAGAGAGAGAGACAGAGAGAAAGGTCTTCCTTTTGCCGTTGGTTCACCCTCCAATGGCCGCCGCGGCCAGCGCGCTGCGGCCGGCGCACCGCACTGATCCGAAGCCAGGAGCCAGGTGCTTCTGGTCTCCCATGGAGTGCAGGGCCCAAGCACTTGAGCCATCCTCCACTGCACTCCCTGGCCACAGCAGAGAGCTGGCCTGGAAGAGGGGCAACCGGGACAGAATCCGGCGCCCCGACCGGAACTAGAACCCGGTGTGCCGGCGCCGCAAGGCAGAGGATTAGCCTAGTGAGCCGCAGCGCTGGCCTATTGCTATGTTTTTATTGTAGAAATTATGTATGTCGTGTTGAAAATAGAGTACTATAGTGAACACTCATTGACCATAGTTCATCACTAAGTGTTAACAAAAATTAACATGCCATTTTTCAAATTTTCTGATCTATAATATTTTTTAAGGATTTATTTATTTATTTGAAAGAGTTACACAGAGAAGGAGAGACAGAGAGAGACAGAGACAGACAGAGGTCTTCTTCCTGCGGTTTCACTCTCCAAGTGGCCGCAGCAGCCGGAGCCGGAGTTTTGAGGGCTGACTGAGGATGTCACTGGACTCCAGAGTTTTAGAATGGGATCTTTAACTTGAAAACCTTCTTTGTTAAGCTGATGTTTTGGCCCAGTGGATTAATTTGCTCCTTGTGACACCAGCGTCCCTTAGGTGTGCCGGTTTGTGTCTTGACCTCTGCTTCTGATCAGCTCCCTGCTAATGTACCTTGGAAAGCAGCAGAAGGTGGCCCAAGTGTTTGGGCCCCTGCACCCACGTTGGAGACCTAGGTGAAGTTCCCAGCTCCTGGTTTCTGCCTGATCAGTCCTAACCATTGTGACCATTTTGGGAGTGAATAGTAGTTGGAAGATATGTCTTTTCTTTCTGCCTCCCTCTTTGTAACTCTGGCTTTCAGATAAAAAGAAAACAAAAAGCCATCTTTGTGATTCCTCATGAGCCTTATTATTAACTAAAAAAGGGATTTTTTTAAAAAAAGTTTTGTTTATTTGAAAGGCACACTTAAAGAGAGTAGAGCAATAGAGAGATAGCTTCCATCCGATGGTTCACTCCCCAAATGGCCGCAATGGCTGGAGCTGGGCCAGTCTGAAGCCAGGAGTCAGGAGCTTCTTCTGAGTCCCTCACATGGGTGCAGGCGTCCAAGTACTTGGGGCATCTTCAACTGCACTCCCAGGTACAGTAGTGGAGCAGCTAGGATGTGGATCAGCAGTAGAGCAGCCGGGATATGAACTGGCGCCCATATAGGATGCTGGCACCACGGGTCACAGCTTTACCCGCTACATCCCAGCACTGACCCCTAACATGGCTGTGACTGTTTTTAACAGTTGACCCTATACATAAGTTTTTTTTTTGTAATTATAGAAACAGTTCCTATAGAATAAATGCTTTTCTGGGATAGAATGTTAATAGTTCACACTTTTTTTTTTTTAAGATTAATTAATTTATTTGAAAGAATGAGAGAGAGAAATTTTCCGTCTGCTGGTTCACTCCCCAATTGGTGAGTCTCAACAGCCAAGGCTGAACCAAGCCAAAGCCAGGATCCAGGAACTCCCATCTGGGTTTCCCGTGTGGGTGGCAGGGGCCCAGGTCTTTAAGCCGACACCTGCTGTTTCCCAAGGCTCATTGGAGACATGGATCGGCAACAGAACAGCTGGGACTCCAGTATGGGATGCAGGTGTCCCAAGTGGGAGTACAACTTGATGTGCTATGATGCCCGCCCCTAGTTCATATATTTACTTCCTGTTGTGTTTTTATATGTTAAAATGAAGAAAGAAAACAATGCAATTACAATGGTTGGTTTTATAATGCTTTCTTTGTTGTATACCTAAAGGTATATACAAACCTGAACTGCAATAAAATACTAAGGTCTCTTTGATAGTATGTAAGTAAAAGAGCCATGGAGAAGTGGAGTAAATGGTAAGAAGTAGACCTATGCAAAATTTTCTCAACCATCCATTAAAATACAAGTTTTCAGAGCTGGCACTGGGGTGTAGACAGTTGAGCCTACACCTGCAAGTGCCGGCATCCTGTACAGGTGCTGGTTTGTGTCCTAGCTACTCCACTGGATTGGAGCTGGGACCAACCAAGCATTATGATACAGGATGTGAACATTCCAGTGGCGTCATAACTGCTGTTCCAAATGCCTGCTATTCCAGGTTGGTGTTTAGAACCCATTTTGTTATTTATTTAAAATTCTGAATTTGGGTGGGTCAGTTATTTAATAAAAGGAAGGGACCATATTTCAGATGCTGGGGATAGAGAGCTGAACAAAACAGTCTCTAAACTCATGAAAACATGCATTCTTTTTTTCTTTCTCGTTTTTAAATTTTTATTTGAAAGGCAGTTATAAAAAGAGAAGGAGAGAGAGAGAAAGAGAGAGAGCGTGCAAGCGAGTGAGCTTCCCTCGCTGGTTCACTCCCCAAATGGCTGCAATGGCCAGAGTTGGGCCAGGCAAAAGCCAGGAGCTTCTTCCAGGTCTCCCATGTGGTGCAGGGGCTCAAGTGCTTGGTCCATCTTCTGCTGCTTTCTCGGTTGCATTAGCAAGGAGTTGGATTGGAAGTGGAGTAGCCAAGACTCAACCTAGGTCTTTCAGTATGGAATACGGGTGTCGCCAAGTGGTGACTTAACTGCTGTGCTAAATGCTTGTGTCGTTCTATTACATTTTAAAAACTACATCCTGGGCCGGCGCTGCGGCTCACTAGGCTAATCCTCCGCCTTGTGGCGCCGGCACACCGGGTTCTAGTCCCGG